CATAGGTCGAGTGACTTCGTACCTCTCCCATAGGTCGAGTGACTTCGTACCTCTCCCATAGGTCGAATGAGTTTCACATAGTGAAACTAAATGAGTGTAACAATTCGTTGAATTTCTAACTACGTTCAACGAAATGAGTTGAACTATGTTCAACGAATCTCTGTTCTCTGTTCTCTAGCCACTTCGTACCTATGTTGCCTCCTCTCTAAATCCCGTTAACTAACAACTCGGAGTTTAAATTTGAAAAAGGCAGCAGATCGAACGCCATGATGGCCAAGATCTTTCCATATTGCACTCTGAGTTAGTGAATTTGAAAGGTCCATTCGCCCAGTGGATCTAACTCACTGAGTTTCGATATGATTTCGTCCTTCACTTCACAGATTTCGGTGGCTCCATCAAAATCTGTGAAGCGGAAGGATTCGGGTTATCCCTTAAGAGGCGGTTTTGAATTGCCTCGATCGAATACGGATCCGCATTGATAGGCGCTTCGGCTTGACCAGCGAATCATTAGATACGCAGGAATAAACCTACGTAGCTACTAGCTACTCTATAACTAAAATAACTAAAGAGGCATGGTATCCTCAACAGAACGGATTGCTCCGCCTATCAAGGCAACACCATAACATACACAATTACTGTGGCTAACACTGCTCACGCTCACCGAACAGGTGACAAGAGGAAAACCCTCAGATCGGTATAAGTGTAGCTATTAACTGATTCAAACCATCTTTGGTAACCGCTAACCTCTGTAGTGTCTACACAAGGTTAGAAGCAATTCCCCAAAGACCTTCAGATGCGGAACGTCAACTGTTTTAAGGTCGGCCTTTCACTCGAGTGGGCACCTTCCCTGAAGAGAGAGAAGGTGGCACCCTAAGGTCGTTTGCATGTACAATACTCTACTTATTGGACTTATTGGTTGGACTTATTGGCCTGGTAATAGCAGTTCTGACTGATTGTATAGTGGGAGGGTCCGCTTGTTCCGGCCCAGGATTGGCTGGTGGCTGCTCCTGCTCAACCTCATTTCCCACTGGAGAGGAAGGGTTGTTTTGGTCAAGCTCGGAATCCTGTGGCGAAGTTTCTCCTCCACCACTTAGAACCGAGGGTTCTTCTCTACCTCCACCATAACCATGAAGAAGTTCCACTTCTTATACTTGAGATGGTGTTTCCGGCACGTTGGCGGGTTGCTGCTGCGGTTGTTGACCATCGCCTGGGGCCGAGGAAGTGTTCCCCCATCTATCAGAGCCACTCCACCCGGATTGGTTTGAGGATTCAGCCTGATTCGGTGCATCAGCATCAGGTAAGACCCTTTTTGTTAATTCAAAACCCAGAAAGGGATTAGGAAGAAGCGTAAGAGTAGTAATATTTTTAGTTTGTTCAACAAAGAGATTTAAATCGATGCCTAATCCAATACCAATAATAAGTTCTATAGTAAATAGAAAAGCTAGTATTGAGATTTTAATCAGATGAACGCGTCATTCTGGTTTACTAGAGCAAAAAAGCAAACTCTCAAAATTCTTGATCCTTTTGTCCAGTTGAGGCATGATTGAGAAAAAATTCCGAATAGCTTTAGGTGATCGACGAAAGCCGGGAGAAGACAGGCCTCACCTCCCTCGCTTGGAACAGAATCTCACTCCCTAACTGTTTCGCTATAGCAAAACTATTGGATTGATGACTGTGAGAAACAGGTATCTTGGTATGAAGAGAATGATATAATGATATAGAGTATACCACTTACCTTGTTGTGCCAAAAGGAACTAGAAGCAATGTATTTCACTCCTAGCGGTAGGAAGAGAAAAGGTCTTGGCAGGTGAAGGTGTTGGATCAGACGCACACAGTTTGAGGCTCGGAGGCAGAGTAGGCAAACAAGAAGCCGAGGCAGACCCTCTCATGTACGACGGATCTGGATTGGAAACCCCATTGATACGCATCGGCGAAGAAGAGGGCAGGGCTTTTGCATTTCATTGCAAGTTGCATTTGGTGCTGTCTTTTCCTGAGCCTACCTTACAAAGGTATAAGCCACTTAAGTGGAAGAGTCATGGAGAGCTCAGCTCAGAGTCAAAAATTGTCCAAAATCCCGTAGAATGAGATGCGTTGAACGGTTTCGGAAAGTAGTTCGGAATCAGAACGAGATTGTTAACCTTTGAATTGCTCATTTCTATTTAATCAAAAAAGATGTCCGACGCTCTTTTGAACTTATTGGTCGAGATAGCTTACTTCCCAGCCTTCCCCAGAGTTCTTCCTTCGTTTAGAGTTGGCACCTTGAGTTTCCACTTGGTGATTGAATTTATCAACTAATAAATCTGCTCTCACAGGGAATTGGCCAATCTTTCTTACTAAAATGGCACTGGCTGCCAAAGGAATGAATGAAACAAATGCTTAACACATGCCTGTCGAAGACGCTCTGTACTATCTAAAAAATCTAAAAAGAAAGAGGTTTGTTTAAGGAAAAAGTATCAAAGCTTCTTCATCTTTCACAGGATAGGGACGCGCCATTAGGAGAGGTACAGAGAACAGAGATAGTTCAACTCATTCAGAGGTACGACCAACGGGAGTCCCTAGCGACTTCGTACGTTGGTCGAGTGACTACCGCTCGTTGAACATAGTTAAACTCATTCGGTTCCGGCGAAATAGAAGATCTCTTCATTCTCAAGAGGAATGAAACTGCCCTTCCATATAGATCGTCGTGGATCCCCTAAAGCTAGCTCCTTGGTCCTTTTTACATAAAACTCTCGGACTGGCTATCTTTCTCTTTATACGCAATATCTTGAAAGGACATCTACCTTACCCGCCTGAATGGAATTCATATCTCCTTCGTCTGGGAGAAAGCCCGGGGAACTGGACTATGATTATTCTATTACGGAGAATCATGATCGATCCACGTCCTAGCGTAGTGCCCGGCTTGCTTAGCTTACTAACGCGAAGGATTTCCAGTCAATCCAGCCGTTTTCTTGCATAGAAGAGCTATTCGTAAAGAGAAAGATGAGTTTCACTATGTGAAATTCTATAATCTAGACGCTTTCTCATTAGCTCCTTTTTTTCGTATTATAGTAGCATTTCGGATTGGAAATGGCCCCGGACGGAGATCTCTTTATAGAGGATTTCGTAACAAAGGGCTCCTGAGGTGCTAGCCGCCCTCTCGGGCTACACTTATACAGCCAGGCCAAACATACTGTGATTCGCCTAGCTGGGTGATACCTTTTGGAATAGATCCCATCCAGACTTACTAGAATGCCACTGATTTCCTTTTTCGACGGGGGTTGCAGCGAGGGCAGGCTTGACTATCTGCTCTTTCGCCTTCTCTCGGCTCCTAACAGCCTTACAGAATGAAGTCCATATTCATATTCATCTTATTAATGTGAAGTAAGAAGGAATCGGGGATCACAGAAGCCACTATCTAATCGGATTCCTCAGGAACGAAGTAGCTAGAGATTCCTCTTCGAGGTACGAAGTCACTAGAGAATTCGTTTCACTATGTGAAACTCATTCGACCTATGGGAGAGGTACGAAGTCACT